GAGAAAGAATATCTACAGAAATTTTTTGTACTATTTTTGCAACTTTTTTGTAAGTCTGAAGTTATTTCAAAATAAAAAGCAAAAACAGAAAGGACAAATTATGAATACATATTAAGTATTAAGTAAATGTGAATTGCAATATTCCTACCTATTTATTCTTAAGCACACAGAAGGATCAAATGAAGCCAACACCTTGGGTCCTTAATAAGAAACCAGTCTGACAGCCTGATATAAGAAATTCTGGGATCCACAAATATTGTCCTAGTCTTTCCAATTCACAGTGGTTCCACGCAAAGGTAGCAGTGATACAATAACCCTTTCCTCCTTCTGATAATGAATACTATATCTAACTTCTCAATTTCATGATTAAGAACATTTAACCAAATATCCTCTTGTGAGTCTACTTCCCATGAAAACACAGGCAACCACAATAAAAAGAACTGTGTCTTACATTTCCCCACCTCATCCCTTCTCTAGCCAATATGCTTTTTGGCTAAGCAGTTGGTGTTCAGACATCTACGTACCTACTAACGCTTTGCCCTGTCCTGCCACAGGTGGGTTTTAGCCACAGACGGTATATGACTACCAGCATGGATGTGGTGACTCAAGTTCATATCACTAACACAAAGTGGAGACATCAGCCAACTCTGATGCCTAGATGCTCCCACAGAAAATGCACACGGCCCCAAGCATCGGCATTTAATTTTATCCCAATGATTTACACTCCTCCGCACCCAGTAACTCCAGTAGAGTAAATGGTGGAACACTACGTGGTCAAGCTTTCAAATCCCAAAAGATGGCTGGAGACAGGCCCCTAGAAAGTCACATGGGAAGGAATAATGGCTATGAAGGCTTTTCTTCTCATGCGCAAGGATAAGTGAAAAGTTGAAAAGAAGGTACACAGCTGCACTTAACCCTCTTGTTGTGGGTCATTATTAGCATGTTTTCATTTACAGTTTACAGAGCATCTTGCGGTCCAGGAACATCAAATCACCCTTCACCACACAGCTGGGGTCAGACAGAACTTCCATTTCACAGACAGAAAAATTAGAGGAAAAGAAAATCAAGATGATCCCTAAACAACACTGTCTGTCGGAAAAGAACCGAGAGCAGACCAAATACTCTGTCTCCAGGAAGAAAACAAATATCCCTAGTTTCTGCAATTACCACACACACAAAAAAATCATTTTACATCACTAAACTACCAGGGAAGCCACAGTGGCCTGTTTCTAATTTCTTATATTTTTTTCCTGATTTAGAGGAGTCAGTCTGGACAAAGACAAGACCACCTACCCACATGGAATTGTGTGGCTCTCAACTAACACTTCACATTCCACCCAAACATGAACATGATAGGCCCCTGGCTCTCATGCCAAAGGAGAGCGTGGTGGGCTCCATGGGACTTCCTGAGAGCAGCTACAATATCAGCCCCTCTCTATTTTAAATATGAGAATTATTCACAAAAAAGAAAAATACATATTGAAAAATCTCTCTTAATTTTGGTTACCATAAGGGAGGAGAAGCAGAGACTATTGTTTATGACACCACAATTCAAACCAACACGCTTGCATAAATGTCCAGAGCTTGGTCAATAGGCCTAGTTGTCATGTAAACACTGGTATATCAACAGACTGTCTGTTTCTATTTTAAAAACAACAAACCGAGGAGACACAAATCAAAGGACCAGCATCAACAAGCAGCATCTGAGGAACAAATCTACACCAGGAAACCAGAGCATGATCAACTCAGAGGCACCACAGCAAACAGGAAAGGAAGGAGCTGAGCAGATGTCAATAAAGAGAGGTCCAAAAACGAATAACACAAATAACACCAGAGACTCCCCTGTACCAACTTTTACACTAAATGTACTGAAACACCCTGGGAACCTAAGACAAGCAAAGACATCCTACAATAAAGGCTTTCAAAGCAGGGTTATTAAAATAATATTTACTTTCTGGTGCCCAAGGCTGCATGAGAAGTTTCAAATAAGGAACAGCATGGTTGCTTACCCATATCACGAGCCCCAGAGAGGGAGGGAGGGAGGCTCATCCACCACTAACAGGAATCCCAGGAACAAGCGTTTTGGTGGTACAAGTGAGGGAACAACAGAGTCTCAGATGGCCCTTCCTTGGTACACTCAAGCATATGTGTCCACTGAGTCAGCAAACATGTGTGGGCACTTACTGTAAACAAGACAAGCACTGTGATGGATGTCGTTCTGGTCAGCGCACCTGCCACAGAACCCGCAGGCAAGAAGGGAGTGTAGCTGATGACCAAAGTGTACTTTAAAATGAGAATCGTCACAGAACAGCCACCCGAATGAAGCTAGAGAGGCAGAATAACGATACCATGGCCACTCCCTTTTCTACAAGATGTTTAAAGAACTAATTTACAGTCTCCTTTTACTCCTCTGTGTGACTCTGAGATCTGGGGCCATTCTCCATTTGAAGGGATAGATGACAAAACAAGCTCTGAGTTTCAAGTCTAAAATCTAAGAGCAAGTAAACGGCAGAAGACATGGTTTATAATCACATCTCCCAAAACTCTAGCTGCTTCTTGTTTAAGATACGTGCAAAATGGGATCTGGAATGCACAGCACACTAATATGTAATAAATAACGTTTTTTTTTAAAGGAAGAAAATAAAGTCAGAGTGTGAACAGATTCTTCATTTTCTCAAATTGAAGGAAGTCTCAAAGGAAAGTATGGGTTACGTAGTGAGAACTACAGGTGGAGTTTAGAACATAAGACTGGAAGTTGCAATGGTGCCATGAGTTCAAGACTAAGGAGCTTGGCCTTATTTGATAGGAAGTTTTTTCTTTCATTTATTTGCTCTTGTTTTTGTTTAACTTTGGGAACCACTTTTGAGCAATTAAGTGACATGATCAGAAAGTTAATCTTGTAGTAGTGTCTAAAAAAAAAAGAGATAGGAAGAATGAGGGAGAACAATTAGAAATTTACTGCAATTGTTCAGTTAAAAGCAGGAGGAAAACGCTCCGAGCAATGTTGCAGAGGGAAGTATGGGGAGGACTCAGAGAGGGATTAGCGGGGGATAGAGGGGGAAGGAGGTCTCAAATATAAAAATAATCCCAGTGTCCTGAGGTCGGGAAACTCACGAAGAAACACAGAGCACAGGAAGATGAGGTTGGGAGGGAAGTCGAACCATCTGGAACACTGCTCTTGAGAGGCTGCTGGGCCACCGGACAAGGAGCTGGAGGTGCGAAGCTTAAGCTCTGGAGATAAAGGAGGCCTGGGAAAACCCCCTTCTGGGAATAGCTACGGGATGAGATCAGATGAAACTTCTAACAAAAGAAGCAGAGACAAAAACATATATATTCTTTGGGGACACATACTGTACAAGCCAATGGCTTTCTAACAGCTTTCTTCAACTCTGGCTGATATTTTAGATATCTGATCAAAAGACTCCATGCTAGGGGCCGGCCCATTGGCGCAGCGGTTAAGTGCGCACATTCCACTTCTCAGCGGCGAGGGGTTCCGCGGTTCGGATCCCGGGTGCGGACATGGCACCGCTTGGCAAAAGCCATGCTGTGGTAGGCATCCCACGTATAAAGTAGAGGAAGATGGGCATGGATGTTAGCTCAGGGCCAGTCTTCCTCAGCAAAAAGAGGAGGATTGGCAATAATTAGCTCAGGGCTAATCTTCTTCAAAAAAACAAAAACAACAACAACAAAAAAACCCATGCTAGACTCCAACACCCCAGGAAATCTCTCCAGGCTCCTCCTTCAGCCTCCTGCATGGAGCTCTCAAACTCTTGTCGGGCGCTTCTGCTTCCTGTTGCTTCAAACTGAAGCTTTAGTTTCTCTGTGCTGTCCCTTGAGATGTGCCACTGATGGACCATCTGCCAAACTTCACTTTTCCGTCAGAGATGTCCCACAGACCCACCTTGGCTCAGGTAGGTCTCTGAAGTCAACACAGCATGCCCCATCCCTAGCCGAGGCCCACAGCCCAGACCCCAGCCCACCCCAACGAATTCTGCTGGTCCAGGAGAGGTGCTCAGATACCTGTACACAGTGGGTCATTTCTCAAAGTCTTACTTTAAAATGTTTCAAACAATTCTAAAGCATCAGCTAAATGTATTTCATACAGAATGTTTTAGAAAAGGTAATGTCTGGAAGTTAACATTCAAAGTTACTCATGCCTCAGCATGAGGAGATGCAATCTCTCAGGCATATTTCTTTGCCAATTTTATTTACAGAGCAGACAACTCAGATTCGTATCAGCTTTCCCTATAACTATTAACTATAAAAAAGAAGAAAAAAGGACCTCCCTTTGTAAATCTGTGACGACGTAAATATATTTAATTATAAATATCTAATGTAATCTTAAAACCAAATTAAACCAAACCAGAGGTTAAATTTTGTTAGGTTTCATACCATAAGGAAATAAGTAATTACAAATAAATAAAACTCTGGATAAATACATAAATAAACACACTCATACATATACCATTTTAAAAATTCAAAACCTAGAATGGAACGTTTGTCAGGTAATCAGTAACATAGTTTAGTTAACATAAGGTAGACTACAAAAGGGAAGTCTTTAATAAGGAAAGAACCTATATCACATAGATATTCAAAACAACCATTAAAAACAAGTTTTGTTTTTCATTGTATTATTTCAAATTGCTTAAAAATGACTGTTCCTCTTCTGCAAAATCCAAAGGAGAGACATTCCAAGGATATTTTCTCTCTCCCGTGTTTAACCCTCATCACAATCCCCTCCCCTCTGACTTTCTTTAAGCAAAGCTGATAAATGGCAAAATGAAATCAGTGGAGTTTCACATTGTTTCCACACGCAAACACATCACAGCAAGCTGAGATAACCAAATGGCAAAATGCAGTTATCTGAGTAATCGCTAATCAGATAACCTCTAAATAACACATCCTGAGCGTGTGGAAATCTTTTTCCTATTTTTCCATGGGCTTCATTTCCCTGGGTGGGGAGTGGCTCCTGCTGGGTCCCCAGGGCTGCTGGCACTTACCTTTTTGGCTCTTTGGGCTATGTCTGGTGTTCTCGTAAGCAGCTTCTCAATCAGGTACTCTCTGTTCTGCAAAACAAATATTCCCAACAGTTGAACATCAAACATGATACACAGAATTTCAAAGCGATTTCAAAAATAGCAGGTTTACTTGGGTTTTTAAGCATGTTACCTTGGCTTTCTGGAAGAATTTGCATTTTAAAAGTTCTGCGGCTGTGGGCCTGAAAGATCAATAATAAATTAGAGTTGAAACAATGACCACTCAATAAATACACTGCCTTGATGAAACAAATTAATCCTAGAGTATATCTGGAAGACCAGTTATGGGAATAGCAAAACCAGAAACTAAATTAATCATAAGCCGGCAACAAATACGAGAGTGCCAATTCTCCAGTTCTTTCCAAACACCTCCACTGCAAAACATATAAACTCCTGTTAAGTTAAATATTTAGGGGCATGATCAATTTTCCATCCCTTACACTTCACTAAGTGAATTCAGTGTTTCTAAAAGGTGGCAGACTGACACATCTGTGAGCTAAATTCCTATATTTATTAGGAAACCGTATAAGCTGCAATACCACCCTGTCAAAGGAACCACAGTCCACAGTGTTCCACGATTTCCTAAGAGCGGCAGTTACCACCAAGGGGGTTCATACAGCACATGTGCAAGCTCTGTGTGCCCGCTGAGTAACCCTGTCTCAAGTGGACATGGACTACTGGTTTTCAGGGGAGGGTAAATGTGACGGTGATTAATAAAATGCAAATTCATTTACAAGCATTACCAGATTGGTCCTTTTTTTTCTTCTCATGGGGTCAATTAACTTATATCTCTATCCTAGATTTCCTAGAAACTGAAAGTTAGACCTGACAGCCTGACCAGGCTGAATCAAGCATCTGGGGGAAGAATACTTCATAGATGACGCCAGGCACTTGTTGCTACAGCACATCAGAGGCACACAATGTTCGGTTATTTCACTGGGAATGATGCTCAGTTTAACCGCTTGGCCGCCATGCCCAAGATCTCTCCATTGCAAAGGTATGTTTTCCCCCCTGCACCTGGCAAGTACTCTGTTGGGTAATACTTTGGAATTGCATAAGTACCACGTTCCCAAAACCTTTCACCTAATGGTTTTAGCATCTTTTTTCTTTTTTTTTAAAGATTTTATTTTTCCTTTTTCTCCCAAAGCCCCCCCGGTACATAGTTGTGTATTTTTACTTGTGGGTCCTTCTAGTTGTGGCATGTGGGATGCTGCCTCAGCATGGCCTGACGAGCAGTGCCATGTCCACGCCCAGGATCTGAACCGGCGAAACCCTGGGCTGCCGAAGCAGAGCGCAAGAACTTAACCACTCGGCCACGGGGCTGGCCCCTGGTTTTCGCATCTTTGCCTTAAATAATTACTTCATAGGAGGTGGCAGAATACTGATTTCCTACTTCTATCACTCCTTCTATGTTTATTAAGTGGCGTTCCCCCATAAAGAAGAGCTTCCTTCATCAATAGTTCCTTCTGAAAAAAGCAATTATGCAGAAAGAATCTGATAAATCTAGAGTATAGGACAGTCAGCAAGACAACTGACCTGATCTCATCAAGAAGCCAGTGTCATGGAGGAAAAGGGGAGATGTGAGGCGACTATTCTGGATTAAAACAGATCTAAAGAAACGTAAAACCAAATGCAACACGTGACCCTTGGCTGAATCCTGTGTTGAAAGGGAAGGGGGAGAAGCTACGAAAGACATTTGGAAATCTTTACAGATATGTGAATATGCTGGGTATTAGACCATTTCAGGAAGTTACTGTTCATTTCCTTAGGTGTGGAAAAGTATCGTGGTTATGTAGGAACAGGTCTCTACTTGTGGGGAATGCAAGTTGAAGTCTTAAGTCTATTACTTTCAAACTGTTCAGCAAATAAAATGCAGGTAAACAGACACACTTAAACTTCTGATAATAAAAGAATCGGGAGGGAGGAGCCCATTACTGAATATCATTAGGAATTCTCTCGGGCAATGATTACCAAAGGGACAAATAGTATAATGTTGATGGGGGTGCACGTTTAAAAGGAGTCCTCACGCTTGAAAAGATTGGAAACCACTGCTTTAGAAGCAGGAAGCTCCACTAAAATGTTTCCAGGGACCAAACCCAAGCCCGTAAAGGAATTCGGAAACGATAAGCACACCGGCGTACAAACAGTGCAAGTCTACAGGGGCCATAAACTGTATTCCTGGGCAAAGAAATTTTCGACTTAAATGGTTATTGCTCTTTTTCTCAATTTCAAGCAGAACACTGCTTAACAGGTTTCTAACAAAGAACCCCGACTCGCAATATCCACCTCAAAAAACAGCCGCTAAGTGCTAACTGCTTTAAGTAAAGGTCTAAACTACAGGTGGGCCGCGTTTCCCATTTTGTCTGCAATAGTCCTTGGTAAACTGGTTCAAAATCATGAACTTGTACCTTGTTAACCAGACACTAGAACTAAAAATGATACTATTCTTTTATGCGATTTAACTTTGGCTGTTATTTCAATATACACTCTTACTGATCATCGGCAATGCTCCCGGCCTCCACAGACTCCAAATTCATCCTTTTATTCTCTCGGTAAATATTTTTTGAGCACCTACTATTTGTCAGGCATTACACTAGGTGCTAGGCACACCATGGTAAATACAACAGACATAAATACTACCCTCGGCAACTTACAATCTAGCAGATAAGAGTTAGAACGTGCTGTTAGACTGTCAGAGGGATGTCAGAACATTCGAACACTTGAATTGTGTTTGGGTAGAAGTGGTGGGCTATAGAGAGAACATATTACACGATGGACTGAGCATGTCTGGTACCTCACATCATGAAACAAAATTTTAAAAACCAAGAGGCAAACAAAATAACTTGGATTTAGTTTTTAAAAAGTGAAAAGAAACCTAAGAAAATTAAGATGATTAAGGAACTTAAGGCCACTGTTTTGGTTGAAACCCCTGTCACCTCTGGCCAATAGAGTTATACAGCCTCCCTGCTAATCTCTCTGCCACTTCTCTCTTCCTCATTCCAACCCATCATCCACACTGCTCTCGTGTTAGCTTCTAAAAAAACACAATTTCTTATCCATCCTAATGGATTTCAGTGGCCTGAATCCTGACTCCTTCAGCTCATTTCCCATAACACCCTACGTGAACTGTATCCTCCAGCTACAATGATGTTCTCACTCATCTCTTGCTCTTTCATGACAAAGCACACACCGCTTTTCTTGCTTCAGAATTTTTTGTAACCAACTGGCACATCCTTGCTCATCAGTCGAGAACCTATTTAAATGTCATCCGTCTTCAGAGATGCTTCTCCTAGCTCTTCCAAGTAGAATTCATTGCTCCCTACTCGGTGCTCACACACCAATCTACCCACGCTCCCATTCTGTAATGATCATTCCTATGTTTCCCCACCTTCACCCCACTGGGTTATAAGCCCTTCCAAGACAGGGTCCTCACGGTATTCATTGTTTATATCCCCAATGCCTAACACAGACCAGAAAACTGCTATAGCTCTATTTCATAGTAATATCAAATACGGGGTAAAAGTGATGCTACTAGACATTTGGACACAGAACCACAACTCCTGGAGCTAGATTTAGTCAGCACCAAATTCTAAGCATCTGTTCAATATAGTAGGGAATAGGTGAATAACGTAATGAAAATAAGACCATGCTAACAGAAAACAAGAAAGAGGTACACAGTGGAGATACTGAGGTGGAAAGCCAAAATTCTTCCCTCTCTCCTCTGCACCCCCCATTCTTCTTCTGCACACTAAGGGTCACATGAAGGACCAATGTAGAGAGAAGGGTGAGAAATGCCAGACATGCCTTGAGATACAGGGCTAGGAAAATACTTTCCCTTCCCCAGTAAGGTCATTTCTACAGTAACCAAAAATGGAAAGAGGAAAAGCATGCTGCAGAGAAAACTCCTTTCTCTGCACTCTACTCTTAGTCTTCATCAGTAAATACAAAAACACAATGGTGCAAGAAATGAGAAACGGTTTAAAGAAGCCACATTCCTTTTTTTAATAGGCTTAATATTTATGTTAAATAGTAAGTAATTTCTACTCTATGCAGAGAAGAACTAAATAGCAGATTCTTTTTGTGCTTTGGAGTAGAATCCTACACGTGTCAAACCATCTCCATAAGAAAGTATGGAAGGGGAGAGCCTAGTGGCATAGTGGTTAGGTTCACACGTTCCCCGATGGTGGCCAGGGGTTCACAGGTTTGGATCCCAGGCACGGACCTACATGCCACTCATCAAGCCACGCCATGGCGGCATCCCAAAAGTAGTGGAAGAGTGGCACAGATGTTAGCTCAGGGACAATCCTTCCCATCAAAAAATCAGAAAGTATGGAAAAATGGAACTGGAAACAACAGGGAGAATGAGGGAGGGAAGAACGTGATAGAAGGTATGAGAAAAGCTGAGGTGCATGCTGCCCATCTGATGTTAATTTTTTGTGTGTTTTGTTTGTTTCAGTTTTATGCTATAGCAACTACCAGGGTAGGGTTAATGTGGCACCGTCAGTGGCACCTGCCACTTAGCTGAGCACTACAGGAGAAAGAATTCTGCAAGCACTTATGTCTTCCACGGCCACTAACAAGCACCAAGCAATACAAGGTAATATAAAGACAAACACTGCTTTACGAGAAATGCTAAAATGCTATACTGGCAACTAAAATGATGGTCCAGATTTTGAACGATGATTCAATTTTAAATCCTTAAAAACAACGAAGCAGTCTGCAAGCACCAACATTCTCAGAAGAAAACCTCTTAAAGGATTCAGTTAATACATATGGATGAACCAAAGTCCACTGAGACTTAAAATAATTTTCAAAGGATTCAGGATGAATATGATACAGTTTAAGTAGTTCTAACAATGTGCATTATAATTTCTAACAGCTCACTGACCTCAGGCAGAGTGGCATTTTTTACCCCACCCCTCCCACCAAAAGAAATATTCAAATTTTATGCATTTCTAATGGATTTACCTATGAAACATCCACCCCCTTGTTGCTCAAAGAAAACGCTGGTTCCTGTTATAGCTGCCATCCCTATGAAGCATGTAATCTACAAGATTAAGGCTCATTTTTTTAAGAAATAGCAAAATGTTCTGCTATGCAAATATAAGCAACTCTTTGTCTATGCCAAGGCAGAGCACAGACTTAGATGAGGCAAACAGCCCAAACACCCCAGCTTTCTTGTATTAGGAAAATTCCATGAGCTCTCAAGATTGAAAGAAAACACGGCCCCTTCTCAGCTAGCCTGAGAGCTCCTGCATAGAACTGAATCTATCCTGGTCACTGTCCCCCTATGGTATTTTTTCATTCATTGCTAAAAAGGTACTCTGCAATACCAGGGCTTTGATACCAGTCAACTGCTTTCAGATTATAAGTAGATGATCTCTATGTAGGCAACAGAAATAAATATAAATTATTAAAAATCTTGCATTCGCTCCTCAACCCTCTCAAATCTGGTTTGTTTTTTAAACTCTTTTCAATGGGTCCAAATCATCCCCAAATTGCAAGCTCCCAACCATCTCCAGTTGTCAAGAAATACTACTGAGTATGTAATACAGACCACACACTGTGAATATAAACATATGTGGCACACGTTCCCTTTCTAAAAACAAACTCATGAGGAAATTGAATGTGTAAGTCAATAAATGCACACAGTGTGATAAGTGCTACAGAAGACATATCCTCAACATGCTGTAGGAAAACCAATAGTTGGGATAACTCCAGTGGGTCAGGGGAAAAAAAGGAAGACAAGGAATGCAATCTCAATTTCCTGAGTAGTTAGGAACCCTTAGGCACTGTGCTATCTGCTTTAAGGGCATTATCTCACTCCATCCCATGAAGCAGGTGTTATTAGACCCATTTTACAGACAATGAAACTAAATCATGCAGATGATGATAAGGTAGACTAGCAATCTCACCCAGATGTATCTAACTTCTAAGAAGATAGGGCCTTTGAACTAAGTGTTGAAAGACAGGTGGGAGGGAGAGGCAGGAAAAGGAAACACCCTTTGACAACAGAAGCAAAGGCAGAGAGGACAGGAAATATTTATGGTTTCTCTCAGAATTGTGCTGCAATCAAATGTTTACTTATTATTTCAGCAATGAATATATATTTTAAAATTGCCTCCTATATAATAAATAATTCAACAATATTGCTTTTTTTCCATTCTCATGTCTCATAAATCTTTTTTTCCCCAAACTCCCCACATTCACATCTTTTCATTAAGAGATAGGAGTCACCTGGGAAGTCCGCGCACCGCTGTCTGTTATAGAGGACAACTGCACAGTAGTGAGAATAGATTATTTTATAGAGAAAATATCTAAAAGAAGTCCTTAAACTAGTAATACTTTGTGGATCAATAATGTTACTAAGAGAGTACTCTGAGGGAAAGACTTTGTAAAAATTCAAATATATGGCGTATGGCTCTTTTCTAAAAGATTTTTTATTTTTTTAGTGGGGTGGTGGGAACCTGCTATTTGAGCTCATATAATAAATAAGACTTTCAGGATTAAGAAACAAGGATGGTTTGTTAAATATAATGTATGACGATCTAATCTATTTTGACCAAATTACAAATCACCTAAAGGAATATATTGTGATATCAGTAAGTAACTAACAATTCTACCCTTCAGAATCATTTTCTTAAAAGCTGAAATTGGGGTTGGTCTGGTGGCACAGTAGTTGGGTTCGCACACCCTGCTTTGGCAACCCGGGGTTCATATGTTCGGATCCTGGGCAAGGACCTACACACTGCTCATCAAGCCATACTGTGGCAGCGTTTCACATACAAAAGAGAGGAATATTGGCACAGATGTTAGCTGAGGGCCAATTTTCCTCTCCAAAAAAAAAAGCTGAAATTGTGTGATATTACACATCATCACTGTTAGGTGGGATCTCAACTAGTTTCAGAATCACAAAGACCATCAATACCAACCCAGTGCAAACTGAGAAGACAAGTACTTCTCTCACTGGGCTTTGAAGGATCAGATTCTGTTTCCTTGATGACACCACAACTGTTTGGAGATGACTCCAAATACAAGAGGAAGGCAAGCAAGAGTTAAAGAAGAAAATTAGAATCTAAGAGCATTTTTACCCAAAAGGAGAGTGGAAAAATAACCTCAACGAAAGATTCCTACTTTGGAGGAAAAACAAGCACTGCAAATCAAATATAAAGGGCCACTGAGATGTTTAAGCACAAATAGTCCATAAGTGTGATAAAATAATCATCCCTTTTACAATAAATAATTCCAAGATGCTCAACAGCAAACATCTATTTAGACCTGACTCCATATGAAAGGCGACTGACGGAGAGAAGATTCAAGGCAGATTCAGTAAGATGTAAGGGAAAGAGGAGAGTGGCTACAAAGAACAGGTAAAATGATAAAAATTGTTTAATCTAGACAAGGGTAGCCTACTCAGAGTAGATGACCATGTAAAGGTAAAAGGCTTAGGTTTCATAAAGAATTTAAGATAAGAACAAAGGAATCATTCTACAAGCAGAATCCTTCTCTGAAAAAGAAAGTTTCAAAAGAGAAGGCAGTTTTTGGACCATTGGGTGGATGAGGGTAGCTGGTAACTTCTCAGCGGCCTCTCCACGTCTGGAAACTCCGTTCACTGCATGTTGGGATGGTGCCACACGCAACCAAGCCCTACAAAGGCAAGGCCTCTGTCTAGTTCACATCATTAACCTTCTCCTTTAAGTGACAGAGGACACTGGGCCCTATTATCTCTACCCAGGATATTTCAAAGTCACAGAAACTAAGAAGGAAGAAACAAACTCAGAAAACAGACACACTTCGGTGCAGGGCAATAACCCAAGAATAAAGAGGAAAGACTAAAGTTAATTTAAAGCTATTTGCTTCTGTTTATATGATTAATCTTTCTAATGTAAAAATCTTAAATCTTCTTTATTGATAATCTTTTAAACAGCACAAACAACTTGTTCTGCAACTAAAAGGAAGCTCATGCAAAATTCAATAGCTCTGCCTGGTTCAGACTGGAACTAGCAGGATATTCAAATCCTGGGAGGTCAGCTCAACCTACACAGTGCAGAATATTAGCTCAGCTTCTGAATGCACCACTGCCAATTTCTTTTGATTTCTATTTTACTTCATTTCCTTTGATGACAGAGCCCCACACCTAACAAGCACAGTGAATCTCATTAACACTGAAAATTTTCCTCTGCCTCTCCCCCATCCTGGCTCACTTCTCTCTCTTTTGGAACCATGCCGTCTTGCACTAACAGGTTGGAGATCTGGGGGCCAGAACAGGATTTCCCTTGAACTAGAAGTACCTGTCAGGTGTCCTCACACAGCCCTTCCCCATCCACAAACAAAGCTTTGTCGTGATTCAAACCAGGTCATTAACCCATCCACTAAGTTTGACATACCTTTTGGAAGGATCTTTCTGAAGACACAGTGAAAGCAATTTTCTAAAGGACTTGCCGTACTTTTTCATCATTTCCTTATCCTCGACTCCTGTTTCTAAGGTGGGTGGATCATTTTGCAAAGTCAACATTAACACCTGCAGCAGAAAGAAATATGAAGACACAACCTCACTATAGCAATTGCTACAATCGAGTTCTTAATTTTTCACAAAAGCATCAAAGACCATTCTTGATTAGGTACAAATGTGCTTTCCCACAATTTTAACTTTCCAGAATGTGTGTATTGAAAGTATTCATTTTCTTTACAAATCTGTTCACGTGCCCTTTGACCTTTTTGTTATTCCATTGACAGAATTTACAAAATCTGCTCTATGTGTTAAGAAAGGGCTCCCAAGGCGACCAGGACAGGGCTTCCTGGGAAGGAACTGGCTCTCACACAGCCTTGAGGAGCACGTAGCTCCAGCAAGGGCTTAGTGAAGTCTGGGGCTCCGGCTGGGAAAGAGGGTGGTGGAGGGGAAAGACAGAGAGGCCCAGAGCAGCAGTGAACATTCATAAGTAAGGAACCGCCTGTACTCAAGGCTTCTGTAACACGCTGCCAACCCTAAAAATAAATCCACAACATCCCAGGAGGTAACACATGATTTCCTTTTTTTTTTTTTTAAGATGAGAAAACATACAGAAAATTGCGTAAGGCCTGGCAAAATTGAGACCGTAAGACACCGAAAGATAGCCAGAATACAACTGAGTTACTAAAAACCATAACCAGAGCAAAAGGCTGTGCTGCTTTTGGAGGGGGACAAAAGAAAACCCAAATTCAGCTTCAAATCAAAAAGGTAAAAATTCCACTTTCACATTAAATTCAAAATTATTTGCTTTAACAAAGAGTAGAATTCATAGTAAATATTGATCTACAAAATAAATTAACTTCATTAATGTATAAATCAGCCTTAATTTATGCAAATGCTCTACACATCAAGACTCTTTTCTAACACTTTCAGATGTATGAAGAAATGAAGATGGCACGCCATGCTGTGGTAGGCATCCCACACATAAAGTAGAAGAAGATGGGCACGGATGTTAGCTCAGGGCCAGGCTTCCTCAGCAAAAAAGAAGAGGACTGGCAATAGTTAGCTCAGGGCTAATCTTCCTCAAAAAAAAAAAAGAAAAGAAAAGAAATGAAGGATTACAGTGACAGTGGATTGTCCGTGGAGGAAAACAGCAAATGGAAGAAAGTGAGAGAACCGTGAAGTCTGAAGAAAAGTCTGACAGGACCTCAGGATGGGATTAGCAATGTGACTTTGGATCCAGGAATTAAGGTATTAAATTAAATACCAATTTAAGAATTGGGTAAAGAAGGAAAACAAGAAGTAAGGAAAAATAATACAGAAAAATTGGACGGAAGAAAAAGTCTGAGGGGCTGTAGTGTTTTTTCTCAAAAGGTCACTTCATTTGTTTACACCTCAACTTTAAATTTTCTGCTAAGAAAATCAGGTATGTATACACACCTCTCCCCACAAATTTTAACTATGCTAAAAATATGTATATAAACATAGAGAACAATGTAACGAACTACACTAAAACCTTAATAGGGATTGTCTGTGGTTGATGAGATTACGGATAATTATTTTCTTATTTATTTCTTAATTATTTCTTATTCTCATTTGTACTTTCAAATTTTTAAGAATGTATTAACTTTTCAACTACTGAAATTATTTAACATTTTTTTATCCTCAGGGTGTTTTTTCTGAGTCGTCCTAAATTTTTCCAATATTTTCCTAGGAAAAAGTTGAAAAAAACATAGACTGTATTGTCTGTAAAATATCTTCATAATTTCCACTGAACTATTTCAGCCTCAAAACAAAATCCAGTTGGGTAAATTAGCACTGATGCTATCAGAGTTAAGAGAAATAATGATGTAACCAGTTAAAAGAATACCAACAAAAATCTGAAAAAAGTATCCAAACATATGATTTCCTAAAAAACATTAAGCTCACTTATTTCAGATGAGTCACCAACTTATTTCAGATGAGTCAATGAGAACAGGGGAGAAATGTTATAGATTGTTAAAACAAAAAAGAAAGGTTGAAAATTTAGGAAATCTGTCTGTCTGCAAGGATGGTATCACTATAATCCATTTTTAGATTTTCCCTGGTGGGGCTGGGGGTATTCTGCCATCAAGAGTAATGACCAGCATTTGTCACAGCTATCAACCTCCATCGACCGATTTGATCACATTCGTTAGTCAGCTCTGTGCTGAGAATGTACAGTAAGCGTCAAAGCTAGGAATTGTACTACTTTTGTCCTGTTCTGTCCACTGAGAACATCAAACAACATTTAACTTGGCTGCATTCCTCCATTAACTCCCCTCAGGTCTAAGAGAAAAATGACTATGTTTAAGAGAATTACAGAACAGATTCCATTAAATCATATTTCAAACCCGACATATTATTGCCAAGAGTAATTACTTTCATAGGAGGATATTTGTGGTAAGGCGCTGCTCCTGTTGCTAATTCAATGGCAGTTATTCCAAAACTCCACATGTCAGCCTTGAAGTCATAGCCTCTCACCTAAGAAAGGAACCAGGGAAAAACACAATTATACAGCAGGCATGTTATACATCGTGAAGTCCATATAATGTCGCAAGTCCACAGCTGTGTATGCACAACTTGGATATTACTTTGCTAAGGTCCAGCAATTGGGAATTAAATCTTAGTTACATGATGCATTCTAGTATAATGATTGATTTGAATGAAATGTTAGTGTATCGATGGTATGTACTACTGAACTATGTCAATCAAAACATCACTTTTTTTTTTTTTTACCTGTTCCATGACTTCAGGGGCCATCCAACATGGGGTGCCAACAAATGTTTTTCTTACTTTATTCCGAGTAACATCACCCCCTGTTGCTAAGAATGCACTTACCCCAAAATCTGAAAGGAAAAAAAAAATCACCCTTATTTTATGTAAGACATTTATTGCTTACAAATTCTGACCTTATGAACATCTCTCTTCCTGGTGAGTTTTACATTGGTGATGAATTGTTCCAAACACTGTGAGCTGTCTCACACATACACCAGGGCAGTCCTGCCATCTGCTATCCTCTACACTTTAAAGAACACCATCTCGGGTAATGGGTCAGCAAGCCCACCAGCCCCAAAAGCTCAGCATATTCAATTATATTTTCTACCAAAAAGGTATCAAAAGTCATACCTAACCATAAAGGATTACATCAATAAAAATACAAACACATTCCCAAAGCCCTAAATATACGAGATCTCAGATGTACTAACATTTATTTTAGAAAGTCATTTATAAGCATAGGAGGCAGTAAAACTGGTATGTGATGCAGTGTCTTTTTATGTTTTTCTCTTATTATGATTATTTTCTAGCTTCTTTAATTCCACATCATCAACGTTTGGGGAATAGACTTTTTTTAAATAAAGGATGAATAACATTCATCTTTTACATTCCAATGCCCTTGCTCAAACAGTGCTAACACCTTAGCCAAAATCCTAATGGCAAATCCAGAAACCCAGGTACACAAAGCCAGCATGTCCCGGTCTGTCCACATGTAGCAATCAACACAAAGGAAAAGCTCAGTCAGCAAAGACTGCTTTTTGTTTTTCAACGTTTGTTTTCTCAACGTTTGATAATTTTCATAGGTATAGATGGAATGGTTTATAGAATGAAATAATGCTCTTCTTAGCATCCATTATATACAAGAAGTTCTTTTTGTGAAAAGATGAATTAATTGGGCTTACTGTATATATGTACATGCATATATGCAAAAATGATATTTATATGTGACAGTAGAGAAAGGATACCCAGCGATTATTAAAGCATGCATTTCTGCTTAGATTTTTACTAAAGGTTAAAATTAGATAATAGTTAAAGTACCAAGCACTTAGGGCTAGTACAGACCTACCAGTAAGAGCCAACTCAAGGACAGCTTGATAGTAAGCTAGCAAATAGTAATTAAAAGGTAGTCGACATCTCAAAATGGTACAGCAGACTATGCAGTGAGAGCCCCTTCCAACTGCTCTCATAGAATTCTCCTTTGCTGGATCCCTTTGTTGACTGCCAGGATGAAGGCAATTACCAAAGAACAAGGTCAATGCAAACCAAGGTCAAAAACGTATTAGCATTTGCTTTATATTTACAAAATTAAGTTATGCAGTAACACTGTAACCAGTTCCCTGAGTTGAAATATGTTGCCTGTTTCATTTTATTTACATTTAAATTTACTCAGCTCCCAACAGGATTTCAACTACAAGCAAAAGGAATAAAAAAATGACAAATGGAGACTTTGTTCCAACTGCTACTCTCATGTTAATATTGAGCAAAAGCATATTTTGAAAATGCAGTATAATTTCATTTGCACATATGTGCCAAGCTCTAAAACTCTGAATTCTTACATTGCAGTCAGAAAAATAAAGCCTTGTGAAAAGAAGTCTCTGGAACCAGTAAACCAGTCTCCTGCAGGAAAGAGGAGACAAAACCCATTCTCTTAACAGTAGAGCTAAGTGAATTGAAATCATTTGTAAGCACCTAGCATGTTCAGCTAGAGGAAAAGACACTATGATAACGCTTTTAAAAATATTAATTTCCACTTAATTTATATTTCTGAAAAGTAGTTCAACAATAATTCCAACATTCTATTTTTATTAAAGTAATTTTGTAACATGATAATGTTAAATAAATACATATCATCTGTAACTAATTAAGGATATGGGTTAAAGTTGCTTTAAGGAAAAACAGATTCTTTTTAAGTGCAATTGAAGAAACTCTGCACCCCAAAGTCTCTTTCTAAAAGACATAATCCAGATAAAAGTCCATAGTTGTCATTAGGCTTTTTAATTCCTTAAAAATACCATCTGATTATATTAGACCCTTTTAAAGCTGCAAAAACAGCTGAGAACGATGTATAGTAGCAATTCATTATTGATAATGCCCCTTCAATATATCTTTCATGATTCACATATTTATTCATAGCCTCCACTTAGATCACTCACTTTAAAGTCATAAACAGATGGTTAAACGTCTTTAAAGCTCAGAACAAAAATTCCAGAAGCAGAAAACACCAGTCCTAACATCTACTCACACTTATGACTACAGAATAAATACACAATTTGCTCCTATGTATGGCTAATGTGTATACAGAAAGATTTATACATACTGAGAAACAGAACACTTTGAACAAAGTACATGGTGTGCTTGTATAAACAGGAAAACTGGTGTATTCTTTCAAGACAGCTTACATATGACAGCGAGAATGACGTGGCGGGGCAATAACAGTGAAAAGCGTCCTTGTTTCCTACGGGTACATCTATACAGCCAAAGGGAGTGGAGCCAGACACACTTTGGTCAGAAACCATGAATATTTCTCTGGCAACATGGAATCAAAGGCTACACATAACGTTAGCCAGCCCATCTTCCTGCCTCCGGGAATAAATGCATCTCAAACCAGAAAGAATGCTGTCATCCTAGTAACTAAAAGGCGCTCACATCTTCTGAATCCATCTACTTCTCTCCTTCCCCACTGCCACGGCCTGGGTTTCAGCCAAAATTCCTGTGGCAGCTCCTAAGTCATCACCCTCCTCTTTCTCCAGGTCTGCGCTCCAGCAACCAGGCCTTGCTATGTCACAGGTCTGACTCTTCTACAAGTCTTCAAATGCTCCCAGCTCCCCCAGGATAAAGTCAAAGTCCCTCAGCATAACCCACACATCTGACTCCCCTCCTTCTCCCCCTTCATTTATCACTACTCCCAAATTCAGACCTTGAGCTCCAGCCCCGCTAAATTACTTACTTTTTCTCCCTGAATCCAATACCATCCTTGCCCTCACCAGTGTTGCCTTGGTACCCCATGCTGTGTCGTTGTCCAGGGACATCATTCCCTCCACTGAGGGAAGGACCATCAGCAGAGGACCTTCTGCTTGTCCTTATTAAGGACGGAAGCATCCTTGGCATCCTGACTCTTGGTGCCTTGGGGCTTTTTCACAGCTGCCTTTGTGTTAGGGTGTGGTTAACTTCATATGCATCCATCACCTTTGCCTAATCTGTGGTGTATGATCTACGTAACGGGAATTGTCTTATTTTGATAAGTGAATGCTAAGCCTTGAGGAGGATCTACAGGATTCTAGAGTGTAGGTACCTGATTTGGAAAGTGGTAAATACTGCAGGAAACAGCACAGCCCTAAGAGGCAAGGGACGGGTGGTCCAGTGGTTAGGCCAAAGACAAGGCTACTCCCCAACCATGGGACTCCAGCAAGGCATTTAACCTTTCTGTGCCTCAGTTTCCTCAACAGGCTTCCTGGTTACACCTATTTTTATATTACTTTCATATTGATAAAACTCTCCTACTTCTTCTCACCATGTATAGATATGCTTTACAGTAATTGTTAGGTAGATCAATAAACTACTTTTCTCTGCCTTTAAAAAGCAAGGCAACTGGGCTAAGCATTAACATTCTTACAATGGTAAATAAAAAATATGAGAAAGGGGGCCGGTCCAGTGGCGTAGTGTTTTAAGTTTACACACTCTGCTTCAGCAGCCCGGGGTTTGTGGGTTCAGATCCCGGGCAGAGACCTACATACCACTTATCAAGCCATGCTGTGGCAGCAACCCACACACAAAATAGAGGAAGATTGGCACAGATGTTAGCTCAGAGACAATCTTCCTCAGCAAAAAGAGGAGGATTGGCAATGGATGTTAACTCAGGGCCGATCTTCCTCCCCCCGCCCCAAAAAAAAAAGATACATGAGAAAGATGTTTCCTGACCTTAAGAATATGACCATCTAGGAGTGAGTGAGAGGACGTGAAATGATAAACACCAGAACAATGTGTGACATCAAAGGCTGTGCTATGCTGTCTGTAGGGAAGCAGAAGAGCTAGGACCGTAACAGCCCTGGAAGACTCTGCATCCAAGTGGGCCCTGAAGTTGAGGTTAAGATGTGGACACGCAAGACTAACAGGAAACAACGGTCCAGACAAAGAAACAGCAAGAACAAAGTACAAGTGTTGAGCGAAGAAGAAAAACTGTCTGACAGCTGCCAGGGTCAAACATTCAGACACCTACCGGGGCCAGGCAGGAAAATAAAGGAGGGAAGAGGCCCTGAAAACTAACAACACCACCTCAGTGATTAAGAGCAAGCCCCTGATACTTAGTCTCAGCCTCAGGAGACATTAGGAGGCACGGCCCCCTTCCCAGGAGCCCATCCTCAGTGCCCTCCCCAGCCAGGTCTAAAGCAGGCCTCTGCTATGCAGCTGGAAACGAAAGCTGCCACAGAGGAATATGGACCTGGTTCTGTAGATGTCCCAGTTTTCCCAGAGAAAGCCAAACATCAAGATCTTTATGCAAAACCTCTCTTTTTTGTTGTTGTTGGCAACAAATTCATTTTTTAAAAAAAGTGAAAACGCAAAATAAAGCAATTCCGCCTGCCCGATTTAACCTGCAAAACTAGTCTGCCAACTATGTTGTTATGGTGTCTAAAATCTACCTAAAATACTCCATCATACACCATGCAATATTATATTTGTGATCCTGCAACCCAAGAGGTCAAGTGGCATGCTGACCCAGAACACCCAGGGCTGGGAGGTTCCAGCAGCATCTGATTCAGGATGCCAGAGGCAGCTGCTGGAAGTATTTCTGTTATCTGTTTCTAAGTATAGATAAGTATGAGCCAGGTGAATGCCCAAAAGGGGTCATTACTGGGGAAAACAGTGACCTGTTGACAGGCATGATGCGTGTTACAAACGGGCTTTCACTGGTGAAAGTAAAGGCAGTCAGCACACGGAGAGTGGCTAAGATATTTTAGATATACTCCCCACTCTTGCACGAATAGAATGAAAGAATCCAGCCAGGCTCACGTGTAAGCTAAATCTCTAACCAGTTCCATGTGTAGCTGGATTCTGGATGCCAGGTATAAGGGTA